GGCATTTCCCCCTCCCCAGGGAGGGCTGCAGCCCTCACTGCAGGGGTCTGTCACCGCTGAGTGTGGTGGGAGACCCTCAGTGGTGCCCAGCCTCCCGTGGAGGGTAGTGGGTTCTGCTGGGCCCCTCGCCTTGCCACAGGTGCCTGGGGACCGGAGCAGGGATGGGTCGGCTCCTGCATCTCAATTAACAGGCTGAGGCTGCTCTTTCTCTTGGAGTCAGGGGTTGGGTGGGGGACTGCGAAAGGCCCAAAGAAAAGCCATTCAGGCCCCATGAGAAGGGGTGCCTCCAGACCCCCACCCTCCAAAGACATTTTTTTGTGATGGGGTGGACATTTAATGGGCCTGGTTCTCCCCTTTGTCTGGCTCTGCCGTCAGCCTTCTGTCACAGCCTGGCCCCTTTCCTCTCCCTCTCCATTCTCCCCCTTCCCTCTGCTCCTGACCTGCCGGGAAACTTTCCCATGGAAGAGAGCCCCAAGGGGAGGGGGGAAAGAGCTGCGGCAGTGACGTGGCTGTAGGAGAAAAGAGGAAAAGAAACAACAGACTGGCCCGGGGAGCTGTGACAAAAAGGGGCCATGAATGGAGATGCAGTCAGGGTTTCTAAAGCGCCAGAGAAAAGGCGGTGGTGGGGCAGGGAGGGGCACGTTGCCCCGTCGAGGGGATTCTCTTTTTCCAACCAGGGCCTGTGCAGTTGCTCAGGCAACTGTTGTGTGGCCCCTGGGCCCTGTGGGGACGTGGATGCCTCCTGCCTGTCCTGACGTGGTCTGTGCTGGCTCCCCTCAGGGTCCCCACTGTCCCTGTGAAGAACCTCACTGGCTCCAGTCCCGTCAACCCAGCACTGGCAGGTGAGGATGGGGCCACAGCAGGTGCTGCTTCCTCAGGGTGGGAGGACAAACAGCCGCAGTGGGGCAGGTTTTGGGGAGCCTCTGGGTCTCAGGGTGTTTTCCTCAGTGCCATTTGCTCCCTCCTTGCGCAGGGATCACGGGGATCCTCATGAGCGCGGCCGGGCTGCCCGTGTGCCTGACCCGGCCCCCCAAGCTGGTGCTGCACCCCCCGCCTGTCAGCAAGAGCGAGATCCAGTCCATCCCCGGCATCTCCCACTCCTGCCGCAAGACCACCAAGAAACAGGCCAAGAAGGGTGAGAGAGACTGTCCCTCCTCCCTTCTTGGTTCCCCTGTGCCCCCATCCCTTCTGCTGCCCCTGGCAGTGGGTTTCTCCCATCCTTTGACCCTCGCTGTCCCGCAGGTAAAACCCCTGAGGAGGTGCTGAAGAAATACCTGCAGAAGGTTCGGCATCCGCCCGATGAGGTGCGAGCAGCAGGGCTGTGCCAGGGGCTTTGCCCTGGGGTGGGTTGCTGGGGACACACAATGCCACCCTGTATGGCTCTGCCCTGTCCCCAGAGGGGGCTGTGTGCTCCGTGCGTGGCCCCTGCAGGGTGACCTGGGTGAGAGCAGGGCAGCCATCAGCGCCCATCCCTCTGATCCTGCCCTCCCCCTGGCACAGGACTGCACCATCTGCATGGAGCGCCTCTCTGCCCCCTCTGGCTACAAGGGGCCCCAGCTGGCCGTCAAGCCTGACCTGGTGGGGAAGCTGGTCAAGTGCAGCCACGTCTTCCACCTCCACTGCCTGGTGGCCATGTACAACAACGGCAACAAGGTGAGAGCCTGCAGCCCCGGGGACCCCAGCTCAGCCACCTGTGCCGAGCTCCACGAGCTCTCCGTGGGATGGAGCTCCAGCCTGGCTGCCCTGGAGGACTCCTGAGCTCCCACCCTGACTCAGAGTTTAATTTTTATCAGCAGCAAGCACTTGGGGACTGCTAAATCAGAACTCAGGGTTGTGTGGGTGTGTTTCCCCCCACTATGTCCAGATTTTTGTGCTTGTTTTCCTTGCCAGGGTGGACTTTGATCCCTGCATGTTTGAGCAGAGCTACCTGGAATTTGGTGCCAGGCAGTGCTTCTCCAGCCACGGGAGAGTTTTTGCAAATACCCCTCGTGCTTGACATTCCCTGGAAAATGCATTGTTTGGAGATTTTCAATATTTTTTTATATTTCCCTCTTTGAAAAAACAAAGCAAAACAAAGCACCAATTCAGAGCTAGGGAAAGCAATGAGGACTGGAAAAATGATGGGGAAGAGAAATGAAGACCTCAGGTTTTTGGTTGAAGTTGGAGAGCGTATTCTCCCAGCCCTACCCCAGGTTCCTGAGAGTTCTTGAAATTATGTTTTTCCTAATTAAAACAACGTTCAGTGCTGCTCAGGGACTCAGTCCTTGGCGTGGCTCAGTGCTGGAGATGCTGGTTTCACCATGTCCCCCTTTTTCCACTCTCAGGATGGGAGTCTGCAGTGTCCAACCTGCAAAACCATCTATGGGGTGAAGACAGGGACGCAGCCTCCCGGGAAGATGGAATATCACATCATCCCCCACGCGCTGCCCGGCCACGCCGACTGCAAAACCATCCGCATCATCTACAACATCCCCCCGGGGGTGCAGGTGGGTCTGGGGGGGCCACCTGGGGGTGCTGGAAGCCCTTGTCACAGCTGTGTCACCCCCAGGTCCTGCTGTAGCTCGTGCCTTGCAGCTCAGGAGCTGCTTGTCCATAAGGGTGTTGTTGGAAGTCTGGGGTGTATCCTCATGAAAGTGCTGTCCCTGTATGCTTGGTGGCAGGGGGATGGTGGCCATTGGTGCCCACCAAGGCTTGGGGAGTTGCTCTGTGCCCAGAGATTGCTTTTGACCTCCAGAAGGGTTTTCTTTTCTCCTCCACATCGCAGGGACCAGAGCATCCAAACCCTGGGAAGAGCTTCACGGCCCGTGGCTTCCCCCGGCACTGCTACCTGCCAGACAGCGAGAAGGGCAGGAAGGTGAGGCATGCCCGGGTGGGAAAAGCAAACATGGCTTAAGCAGGGGAATGTGGGTGGAGGCTTAGCCCACAGCCCATCCAGCAGGCTCTGCAGGAGCCCCGTGACGTTCCCCTGCCGGCTCGGCAGCCCAGTCCCTCTGTTCTGGCTGGGGCAGGAGGCTGTGCTGGGATGCTCCAGGAGGCCTTGCCTGTGGGCTGCCCACATGGCCGGGCCCACATGGCCGGGCCTGCTTTGCTGCCTGCCCCATTCCTGGCCTCCACAGGTACTGAAGTTGCTGCTGGTGGCCTGGGACCGGCGCCTGATCTTCGCCATCGGGACCTCCAGCACCACGGGCGAGTCAGACACGGTGATCTGGAACGAGATCCACCACAAGACAGAGTTCGGCTCCAACCTCACCGGCCACGGCTACCCCGACATCAACTACCTGGACAATGTCCTGGCCGAGCTGGCAGCCCAGGGCATCACCGAGGAGAGCCTGGCACAGGAGAAGGACTGAGACTGTGGCGAGGAGGCAAGGAAAGGGTTGCCTGTGCCGGCACCCACCAGGATAAAGCTGCTGGAGATATCTGCCTGGGGGCTTTTCAGGGCACACCTGGAGCCCCCTGCTCCCAGTGGCAGCCACGCAGTGCCCCAGGCTGGCTGGGAATGTGGGAGAAGGTCCTTTTGGCCGTCCCCTTCACTCCTGCAGGGCGGGAACATCCCCATACGCAGCTGTGGGGCTTCAGGCTGGCTTGGCCGCCCCTCTGGATGGTGTTCTGTCCTCGCTGTCACTGTGCTGAGGGCTTGGGGAGTGCCAGGCTCCCCTCTCTCCTCATCTGTGCCAGTCCCAGCCTGACCCAACACCCCTGCCACCCACCTGGGGCTGGCACCTGGCTTGGGGTGGGAGCTGGGGCCGCAGGAGTCCCCCTTGCTCTGCCTCGTCCCTCTGACGTTTGTCTGTCCGTTCGTTCTGTCCGGTACCTCCCCACTGGTCTCCTGTGTCTGTGGAGGCTGGGGGGCCTGGGCTGCCTCAGCTGCCCCCAGCCCTGCCCCCTGCTCCTCTTGGCTGTGTCTGAGCTGTGCCCTGCAGGGTCCCCGTGTCCCTCTGCATGCCAGGGAGGGGCTGGTGGGTGGTAGCAAGTGTGTGGGAGGGGACAGTGACATGCCACCCCCCGCAGTGGGTTCCTTGAACTGTTCGTATGGGGGCGTCCCCACGTTGGAATTTCTATATACCTCGTGTTTTGGGGTTTTGTCGTATATATGTACATATAGGGGGGCATCTGGGGAGGCAGCCTGGGAGAACGTGGTGCTGCAGCTGAGCTGGGGCTGGGCACAGTGGTGCTTGGGGTCGGGACAGGGGCTGTGGGGCCCCCCACCCCGACAGGGCTCTGCCCCACTGGAGGGCTGTCACTTGTGGGTCCCCATGGGGCCAGGTGCAGGTGGGGTAAGAAGTGTCCCCCTTCCTGCCCTTGGGGAGGTCTGCAGGGGAAGGTGCTTGCTGAAGGGTTGGTGTGGGCTGGGCCAGGAGGGCGGTGTGGGTAGGAGAGTGTGGGTGATGGGGGAAGTGTGTTCCAAGGCTCTGGGGGTCCCTGTCAGCCCCCTGGGTGACTGGGCCTTGGAGAGGTGGAAGGTGTCCCTGCGCAGGGCAGGGCTTAGGAATGGGAGTCTGTGGGGTCCCTTCCATCCCAAACCAGGGTTCACGGGGCCTCTCAGAGCCACCTGTGCCGGGTGCTGGTGGGAGGGGGGCCCATCCTGCTGTGCATCGTTCTGTTGTCGTTGCTGTTTTTCCTCTCCGTGGCCTGGAGGGTCCGTCACCCCCGCGGCCACCCCGCGGAGGGGCTGGGGGTCAATAAAGCGGATGGCAGGGGACTGTGGCGGTCCCTGCACGGCCTGGCCTCTCCGTTGTCTTCTGTCAGTCATCTGTGTGGCCAGGCGAGCCAGGGGCGCTGTGGGCAGGGCCAGGCATCCCGAGTCCCCCTGATTTCCCTTTGCACCCATCTGTGCCCAGCCGCCCTCAGCGTGGATTGTTATCTTCTACCTCAAGGGAGAAACCCTCTTTCCCCAGGCACACGCCCCTGTTTGGGTGGCTCTCAGCCGTGTGATTTCTCCTCCACTGCACGCCCTGGGTTTTCCCCAGTGCAGACAAAGCCTGTCTGGAGCTATGCAAAACCCTCTGGGCGACAGGGGGGAGGGTCCCCCACCTCCGCGGTGCCAGCCCGATGGCTCTTACTGTGAGTAAGTCTTTCCACAACGTGACTTTTTTTCCTTTTTTTAATGCTCTGTTGACTACACGATGAGTTGCTGGCTGAAATAAAACTGCTCCGTGCCTCTCTGCATGCGTGTGTATATCTATCCCGATAGATATACATGGAGATAGGGGTTGCAGCTTGCAGCATGCAGGATTTGGGAGACAGCCCTCCCCAGGGCCCCTTCGCTCCCGCCTTTTCCCGTGGGTTTGGGGATTTGGGCCCCAGGGGAGGGGGCACTCAGGGCACCGTCCCCTCCATCTCCTGCTGGTACCCCTCGCCCACGTTCAGCACGGTGCTGTGCTCGGGGCTGCCCGGGGCCGGGCTCTCCCCTTCGCCCAGCTCGCGGTACCCCCTGGCCCTGTAGCGCCGGTGGCCGTACCAGGCTGTCCCCAGGCCGGTGGCCAGCCCGGCCAGCACGGCCACGGTGACTCCGGCCACCTCTCCCCCTGACAGCCCGCGGGCCCCGACCATGTCTGCCGCGTGCTGCGCCTCCTCGGGCCGTGCCAGCCGCCACACGTGGCTGTGGCCGTCCCTCACCCAGGCGCTGTCCCCGTCCCGCACCAGCAGCGTGTCCACGGCCGGCAGGTTGGCGGGGGGCCGGCTGAAGGGGGGCAGGCGGGCGGGCGGCAGCGAGCCCCCGGTGAGGAGCCCGGCCTGGACGCAGAACTGCACCTGGCAGCTGTCGCTGATGAGTGCCAGGTGCTGGCTGAAGCCCGGGGGACAGCCCTTGGCGTGGGCGTCCTCAGCCGTGCCCCGGGGCTGCCCGGCCAGCGGGTTCCCGGCCTGGCAGCTGAAGAAGCCCCCGAAGGGCACCGCGTACGCGGCCCCCGCCTCGTAATCTTGGCTCACGCACACGCTGAGCTCGCCAAAGAGCTTCAGTGGGAAGAACCCCGAGGGACAGGACGGGGCTCCGGTGATGGGGTTGGCGCCGTGGGTGCTGAACAGCCCCCCAAAGAGGTACCCCGAGTTCGGAGGCACCGGCCTGCTCGCGGCACACCAGTAGGCGCTGAACTGCACCCGGGAGAGCCAGAAGACGTCCTGGCACTCGCGGTGGCAGAAGATGCCCAGCGTGCACTTGTTGTGGCACTCCAGGTGGCTGTGACCCTCCTCCCGCTCCTGCAGGCCCAGCAGCACCGGGGTGTAGGCGGCGGGGCAGGAGAAGGCCCCGGTGAGGGGGTTCCTCTGCTCCAGTGCCCGGCACAGTGCGCCGGTGTCGGGACCGCCCAGGCCCACGCACTCCTGGAAGACTCCCCCGAAGGTGAAGTTGGCCATGGTGCCCTTGCAGGAGCCGTCGTCGGTGTTGGCGTGGAAGTTGAAGTTGGGTGAGGAGGGGTCGGTGCAGCCCGGGGCGGTGTTGAAGGTGTAGTAGCGGTGGATGGCGAGCTCCACGCGCCGGGCCAGCCTCCGCACCGTGGGTGCCGGCAGCTCCGGCAGCGCGCTCGGCTTGATGAAAAAGTACAGGGGCAGCCCCGAGCGGTCCAGGGCCACCAGCTGGTTTTGAATCCTCTCCTGCCACGTCTTCAGGGTGATGCCTGGGTAAAAGGGGGGCCCACCAATGCTCTCCACCCTGGAGTTGGTGCGGTTGTCCAGGTACTGCTTGGTGAAGCCCGAGCTGACGTCCAGGGACTCCTTGGTTCCCACATTGACGATGCTGTGGAAGGCCACGCCGGCCGAGGCGGTGACAGAGCTCCGTGTGGCCCAGCTGTCCTTCAGGAAGGTAGCTTTGATCTGGTCCTCCTGCACCAGGGTGGCTCCTGCATCCACGGAGGTGATGGTGTGGGTGCCGTAGTTGAGCACCAGCACCTCAGCCAGGAAATCGGCCATCTGGGTCTGGTTGTTCTCCAGGTGGCTGGCAATGGTCAGCAGCTGCTTCTTGAAGGCCCTGTCCAGGGCTGCCTCGGGGTCGATCTTGGCCGTGTAAACCAGGTTCCTGACCTGCACCCGGGTGGTGACAGCCTTGTCTCTCACCTGGTGGGTCTTGGTGCGGTGGAAGTCGCTGGAGAATTTGCCGTTGATGGAATAGAAGAGGGACAGCTCCAGGTTGATGGAGGCAGAGGTGATGCTCTGGTAATCCTTCCAGGACTCGATGATCTCAGAGTTGGTGTCCAGGTTGCTCTGCTTGCGGGGGATGGTGAAGATCTCGTCTGGGATGAGGTAAGATCCATCTTCTGTGGTCTTGCACTGTGAGTAGCCCAGGTTGATGACTCTGCCCATATCCAAATTCCTGAGGTTATCCCAGCCGCCCCCCGGCAGGACTTCCAGACGTGAGAGGTTCAAGGCCTTTCTGCACACCCCAAAGCCTGAAGAGGACGAGAGTTCCTGGGGCTGCTCAGCCCCTGTCACCCACGCCAGCAGTGCCCAGGTGAGCGAGGCCCCCCCGAGCCCCCAGCCCATGGCCGAGCCGCTCTGGGCACTCACCAGTCGGAGCAGAGGGACCGGAGCTGGGAAAACGAGCTGGCTGAGGGAATTGACGAAAGGGAAAGGAGAAGTGAGAACTGAGGCATGTGAGAAATGACAGAGGGGAAACCAAGACCAGGGGGTGGGGAGCAGGAAGGTGTCTGTCCCTCCCTCTGCCCCACCAGGGACTCTCTGCAGCCTCCTCTGCCCCACTCCCGTCCTTCCCCCAGGGTCTGCAGTGTCACCAGCCGGGGACAGCACCTCCCGCTTGGGAATGCTGAGCCACAGGTGCTGAGGGCTCTGATCCAGCTCTGCCCAGCTGTGCCTGGCTGGGCTGCGGATTCAGCAACGCAGGGCAGGTGGTGCAAGTTTTGGGGAATAAACAGTAAAGGAAGTTTCTGCTGTGGAAACGGTGACTCTTTCCATACAGATAGATTCACTTCCCTTGGTTTTGCTCCTGAGTTCCTCTTTGCAGGACACTTCTGCCTCGGAGGAGGCTGGCGTGACAGCTGTGATGGAGGCACAGGGACTGTAAGTGCCTGTTTTTTGGGCAGGATAATGCCAGGAGTGGGGGATGAAGAGATAACAGGAACGCCATTGTGTTGGGGAAGATGAAACAGAAAGCCTTATTAATATGATTGCCTGGAAAAAGATTTTGAGAATATAGCAATTTTAAGTGAGATTGAAATGAAAGCAAGCTTTGAGATACCTTAGTTACTGAACAACTGGAAAACAATGGTGTGGCCAGCTGAAGGTAATCCCCTTTTGATGAAACAATACCCTCTGCTTGCAGGCAGGTCCAAGGGTCAGAGCAGACCCCACTAGCTTGGCAGAAGGGGTCCAAAGAGGAGTTTTTAGGGTTTAAAATGTAACACAGTATGTTAATGTAATGATTCTTATAGGCTGGATGTAAATGCTGTAGGATTTGTATCTTGTACTAGATTTGTTAGTGAGAATTAGAATATTCAACACAGAAGAAGATTTATTGTATTGTAACGGGAACCTCGCTCTCTCACCCTCTCTTCTCTCGGGCCTGCTCTCTTCTCTCGGGCCTGGGAGCTGTGACTGGCAGCTCCCAGCAGGGCTCTGCACTTGCAATAAACCCCAAGTTCCATGCCCTGGCTGCAGAGATCTCTCGTGTCTGTCTGTCCCGACTGTCTGTCCTACCCCCCTGATGCTCCTCCAGGGATGTTCTTGCTGTCTCCAGCCCCTGGGGTGGCTGGAGAACCCTTGTGCAGGGATTCTCATCTGCACGAGGATGTGCAGCCTGTGTGGGCACCTCACCTAAAACCTGCCCACGGTGCCATGGAGGCAGTGGCATCTCACAGCTTCCCCCAGCACTCTGAGGTGCTGCTCTGAATGAACCAATTCCTGCCTGCCTTCCAGTGGTGAGGTTCCCATCAGTCCCATGGATTCTCTCCTGGGCAGGGCAGCTGGCAGAGGTCCCTGCTAGCAGCGTGACACCAAAAACCCCACAGCCCAGGGTGACCAGGGGTTTTGGGGATGGAGAGTTTAACGGCATCAGCTGGCAGCTGTGCCACTCAATTTATGCAAAAGGAAACCCAAGACTTCTCCAGAGGGACTGGTTTTCCTGGGTAAACAGAGACACCTTTTAACCATCAAGTGAGTGAGGTTTGGGGCTGTGTTTCCAGTTTACTTTTTAAATTTCTGGGTTTTAGTTCTGCTTCCCTGGCTGGGGCAGATGTGCAGGAGCAGCGCAGGGGCTGGAGCTGCTGGGGGTATGGATTCCATCACGGCCCAGCCGTGTCTGGGAAGGCCTAGGGAAGGGATCAGACATCTCCTGGAATGAGGGATCCTCTGCCTGGAGTGGAGGGGGAACATGGTGGGGCCTGAGGGGGAAGATCAGACACCGCCCTTGGGGACACTTTCTGTGCCATGGGGTGGCTGCCAGCCTGTGGGACAGGAGCTGGGGGGACCCCAACACTTTGGGGGGCAGCCCTGCCCTCGATTTACCCCCCTTTTTTGGGGGTATGTCCATGTGCTTCTTACGGAAGCACTGAGCTGCTGGCCAGGGCAACTTGGACTGGTTTTGTGCCTTCTCTGGGGGTGAGGAAAAAGAGAAGTGTGTGAGTCTGTGGGGTGATGGTGTCATTTGGGGCACCCCAATGTCTGTGGTGGGGGAGCTGGTGAGTGGGGCATGAGGGGGAAACAGGTGGGATATCTCCAAAAAAGGGAGGTTATAGCCCCAAAATGCCTGAAAATTCATTTGTGTGTAGAACAGTAGAAAATATAAAGTCTTTTTTATATATAGAAAAAACCCACTCTTTATTTCAAGATAAATCTTCTGTGTTATAGATTGGATTTCAGACTGTTAAGAAAATTAACCCACAAACATCAGAGGTTGATGTCCAAAAGGAGACAGAGGAATCCTTTCTGGCTTTATTTGAATAAAGGGTGAGGCCATGGGGCATTCCCCTGGGGTCTCTCAAATTTTTGGAGGACACAGCCTCCCTTTTTATCCTAATTTCCCGGCTGCATTTCCCTTCTCTCTTTCCCCATTGGCTGAGGTACTTGGGAGGTACAGACTTCCCAATACACCTGATACCAAAGACTTCCCTCTAATGTACAACCCTCCCTTTTAATTTTAAATTCTTACGGAATTTAGGGGGTTTTCTTCCCCATTGTTTCTTTCTTCTCTCAATGTCTAATTTAGTTTATCAGCAAACC